AATCTTATGGTTATCGATTGTGCTTTCTAATCCCCTCACCTTCATCCTCGTCCCCACCCCCCTATATCTGAGGTATCTTAACTTCTGAGTCAGACTCTCTGCACAGCGCTCTTTGGGATAGAGAACTAGGAGGGATCTTGTTAGAGCATATAACATCCACATGAAAAATATGCAAATCCATTTCTTGTTCTCACTAAACTTTGAGGTGACTATTTTCTAAAGGTTTCAGCCTGACAGTCTCTGGGGGCCACTGAGTGTGGCCTGTATCAGCCATTGCTTCTGCTGAGTGTGAACAGATGCAGCAGCTGGTCCTCTCCTTACTGAGGATGAGGCACCATAATATAATAAAGAGTGCAAAGGGCCCAGATCCAAAAAACAAGACAACTTTGCAGCATCACGGACTTGCTAATCTGTAAATATTTAGTAAGCCACAGAGCTGGGACATAACTCTACAATCTAATCAAGGCAAATTACAAAATTGCCAAACTATCACTTCTCACATGGCGCTTCCTAATGCAGCATGTGGGATCAAAGAATTTTAAACAAAGTGTATTTTTCTCTTTTTTCTTTTTTAAATGAAAGTCCAGAAGAGAAAACACAAAGATAAATAAAGGTAAAGGAGAGAAACAAGCTAAGTAGAACAGTCATTCCATTTTATGTCTAAGCTCCTTGTCCAGTTCAGGAAGGAGGCCTTGCTGAGAAGAGCACCAGATGTGGTTAAGACCTCATCTAGCTCTGGCTTTGCTGCTCATTAGCTGTGTGGCCTAGACTGTTGCCTTTTTCCTCTGGACTGGTTTCCCACAGGTTTTTGGAGAGGCTGAGATCACAGCTCTGGCCGTTGGAAATTCTAGGCTGTGATTTTTAGACCTCTCCTCTTGCCTTCCTACCTATCATATGAACTTTTGATGCGAATTCTGTTTGAGTTGCATATGACTGGAAGAATAAAACATGTGTCATATGCAATCAGAAAAGTCATGTTTATGCAAAAGCCATTTACTGAAACCTTTTGTAGATGCAGACAATTGAAAAAAAAAAAAAGGGGCAGAAACCAGAAGAACTAAGTTCCAAAAGCTGAGGCTTATTCATCCATGTGTTTTCTGCTGAGAACTCACCATGAAATCTCAGGGCACATCAAGGGTCCTCTTTGGAGGAATCAGGTTTCCCAGAAAGAGGAAGCCACATGATCAAAAGGATGGAACGAGGCCACTAAAGGCCGGGAGCCTAATGAACATCTAAGGCTGAACATGGCTGAATACACAGCAGCATTCTCAATGGTAATGAGGAGAATCATCAGGGTCAGATCCCCAGGCAGACACCACCCTCCCAACGAAACTGTTTCCATAGTCAAGCATGCATTACAGCGCCAGAACTGCCGTGGGAGATACTCAGGCACAACACTGTTTCAATAACCACAATCCTTTGAAGATTTAGATCGCTTTCCCAGTATCCTGCCTTCTGGATCTTAAGTTATATTCAGTAACAGAGTCTTAAGAAGACACATCAGTGATAATAAAATATCGTGGGATTCTTTGTACTGATAGTTATTCTTGATCAGAATTCATGTAGACAGCATTAGACCACGTAGCAAACTCACAGGTTAAAACCAGATATGACAGGTTTTTAATCTGGCCCAAAGGATCTGTCGATGTAACTGTATTCAGCACAGCAGAAATGTATTTTGAATACTGCCCTGGCCCAAACAAAAGCACACCTGCATTAGAATCCAGCCCAGTGGCAGCTCAAGTGTAACTTCTGAACACACCTTGATTGTGGACAAGGGAACTGAGACCCGCAGACCTGTCCACACTTGTACTCCCTTCTCCTCGCTTCCCACTCTGATTCTTCAACTTTCCTGAAATTGCCTTCAACAGGGAGAACAGTACCTTGCTTTTCCTAAAGCCAATGGATGCTCCGTAAGTCCCTCTTCGGTGACTTTCTGAGCAGCAACTAACTCACTGACTCTAGAGACATCCCTCTCTCCTAGTTTCCTTGCTATCTCCAAGGCTGCATGTTCTCATTTCTTGCAAAGATATCTATTGTCCAGCCTTCTTAAATATATTTGAGTTCCTCAGGTTACATCTGATAAATTTTTTCTTACTCTACCACTCCCCATAGGCAAATGTATCTATCTCCATGGTTATAATCGTTACCATTTTATTAAACATTTAAAAATCTTTACTTTTAGCCCAGACTTCTCTACTGAGTTCCAAAGGCAAATATCTAGCTGCCTAATGGGCACTTCTACTTTGATGTACTTCATACTGGATGTATTTAAAGTTGATTCTGGCATCCAACATATCTGTCAACGGTCCTGCATTTCCATCCCAGGGATTCCCACAACTCTCCATTCAGCTATCAGGTCTAACACTCAGGGCTGTCCATATCCCTTTCCTTATTCCCGTCCCTGTCATTTCTAACCAGTCACCAACTGTCAGGTCTCTATTTAATCCATCCTTTCATCTTCACTACCATCTCTCATGTGGATGAATGCAACAACCTTCTTACTGTTCTCTTTGGCTTCCACTTTGTTTCTCTCCAATTTATCTGCACATGAAAGGATGGGCAACCTATATAAAAGGCAACCTCAAACTGTATCCATAGATGAAAATTATTCATGGGGCGGCGGGGTGGCTCATTTGGTTAGAGCGCATGCTCTAAACAACAAGGTTGCTGGTTCGACTCCCGCATGGGATGGTGGGCTACGCCCCCTCCAACCCCTGCAACTATTGTAGATTGAAAATGGTGACTGGGCTTGGAGCTGAGCTGCGCCCTCTACAACTAATATTGAAGGACAACAACTTGACTTGGAGCTGATGGGTCCTGGGGAAAACACACTGTTCCCCAATAAAGTTAAACTAACAAACAAAAAACCTCTTCAATATTTTCAACACTCTTAGTTTAAATTTCACATTACTTAAATTGGACTATGAGGCCCTTTAGGATCTGACCCCAGCCTACCTTTCCAGCCTTACCTTCTCATTCCTCACCTCCTTGCCTTTGCTTGAACCTTTCTCAGTTCATTCGGTCAGCCTTCTTTTCTCTTACCTTTGAGAATCCATATATTCTGTTCCCACTTCTATATCTATAACCACTTACTCAATGCCTGCCAAAATGAAATGGTGTTACTTCTAGACTGTTTTTTGCTGTTTTTTTAAGACTTTGCTTTTTTAAAAAAAATAA